CTGTTTTTGTTGATGTGTCTAGGGGAGTTGCTAGGTGCAGAAGCCCAGGTGTGATCTAAAAGTCTAAAAGCATGGTAGTCAGTGGATGTGGGAGGTCACTGGATCTACAGTCCTCACCAAAGTACCTATGTAATTTATCACATACAGAAAACTTTGCTTTAGAAGTAAGTAAGGAAAGTGCATTTTCAATCCAGGCAAACACTGAAAATAAAGGAAATGTAGAGTTAAAGTGATTCCACTATATACAGCATCCCCTCTATACTTCACTCATCCCAGATCAATGTACAATCCTAGCTGTGACCATAATATATAGTAGTTAGCTAGTCTGTTAATGCATACTTTATTACTAAAGACAATGTTTATTAAAGATTCAGTCCATATTTGCTTATACATACACCTCTACGTTGATATAACGCTGTCCTCGGGAGCCAAAAAATCTTACCGCGTTATAGGTGAAACCACGTTATATTGAACTTGCTTTGATCCGGAGTGCGCAGCCCCGCCCTCCCGGAGCACTGCTTTACCACGTTATATCTGAATTCATGTTATATCAGGTTGCATTATGTCGAGGTAGAGGTGTAGATGATCTTTGTTGGAATGGAAGATTATATAAGTTTTCTGGGATATGGAAAAGAAATGTTAGCTTGTTGAATCCTTGTGTTGTATAAGGTATGTATTCTATATCTCTATTAAAAATGGCTATTCTGTTACATTTTGTGTTAAGATTTTTTTGGTCAAGTAACTAATTTGGTCAAGGAAAGGTTAGAATTAAGGTTGTGATCCAAATGGGTCATTTAGTTATTTTGTGCACACTGAACATAAAGATGTGGATAAATTATCAAATAAATGATGGATTCACCTTATCCTGTTCAATTTGGTTTCTTTCAGTTTTTATGTTGATTGAAAAATACATTTTTTAACTCTGTTAACTATTTTTTTTAATGTGGAAGTTTCCTAGTTTGGGGACTTTTTATAATTTGAGCTGTTTAAATCTTTCTTTGCTTTAAGGCTGCTTCCTGTTTCTGTTGGAGGCATAAGAGATCAGGGAAGCTGGAAAACAGCTACTCCAAGTTGGCTGGAGCTAGAGTCAAATCTGAGTGCTAGAGCTATAGAATATGGATTGGAACTGGGGAGGCAGGACTGGGCCTGGGTTCGGAGTCATGGAAAGGAATTAGTTGGGGACTGAGGACCCAAAGCTGGAGATTGTCAGAGGTCCTTATCTCACCATTCATCAACCTGTTTTTAGCCTCGTTTCCCAAACCTCCAGGTCTTAACCCAGGCTCCAGAATGCACCTCTACTATGTACTCTGAGTTAGAACAGCTCCTTGAGTGTCTGGGGAAATTGGCCTTGCTTACAGTTCATCCAGATAAGTGCTGAAATGCTGAAAGACTTTTGTGTTTAGAACTTTAAGTGTTTCAGAACCTAACTGGCTGAGCTGTAATCAGAATAGTGCCATAGCCATCAGTTTTCCTTCACATAAATAGACATGGTTAGGATGAATAATGCTCTTATATTTTATATCACATTTCTTTAAAATATATCCTCAAACCCTAGCCCAAGTATGAAAATTTGTTTAATTGTAACATATCTTTCTTAAGTTTCACAGATAAAAACAAAGCCATTTAGAGGAATCCTAAAACTTCAACAAGAGTCAGTTTTAACATCTTCAGTCTCCTAAACTATTAAACAGATTTGCATATAATCACAGAAAAATAGTTCTCTCTCTTAGAGTAAGTGGTGTAAGCTTGGGGATGATGCACACTAATTTCTATATGCGAGGAAGGGATTTAATTCCCACTTTACCCAAAGATCTCAAGGAAGCCTTCAATTTATGTCTCTATAATGTGAATAAGGATATTTAAAAGAACTCCCTATCTACTATATAATCCAAAGAGCTGTTATATTATTATGTAAAAATGGATGTAGACAATTTTAAAAACTTGATTTATTTATTTGATAGATTATAGTGACCCTGAAAGAGCTCTTTGTAGTCTGTAGAGTTAATAGGTGTTTATACACATTCTTCACTATTTAATGATTTATTACTGTTAAACTAAAATTATATATAAGCATGCATTGCAGGAGTTGCATATAAAAAAGAAGGCAGAAAAGAGGAATGAGAGAGTGAGTAAAAGGTCAGTAACAGAATATGTAACAATTTGCATCTGTTCATTTTACTCAAGAAGAGTGGACTACATTCAGTTAAAATTATCTGCTTTTGACCAACACTTTGCAAAATATTTTTTTTTCAACCAGAGCTAGACCAATTAATTCTGTGCTCTATAATGAAATGTGGAACTATATGTAATAATTTATATGTCACAATGATCTGAGGGAAATTTTCACCATGAGGAAAGCATCTTTCTTTTTCTCTGGCAATTGCAGAAAGGACTGTTAAGTATTTCTGAGAGAGAGACCTGGGTCCAAAGAAGCCGAATATATTATACTAATTGGATTTAAATGACATCCCTCAAAATCACTTTAATCAGAGAATTTATCACAGCATAACGTATACAGTAGGTACATGAATTAGAAGTGTCAACATTTGTTTGTATTGGTAACATCTGCTGAATTTTCATAAATTTTTACAATATATGGTTAGGTTGAATTATTATTTATATTCAGAAGACTCCTATCACCATAGTATCTCAGAATTTTGTTATGAGGCTTGAATTGGATCAGCCTGTGTTCTAAATAAGAGGAGAAAACTCCAAGCTCTCCTTAGTCAGATAGGAACCCAGGAATTAATACTATAGATTAGGCTTCGATCCTGCAATCTGATCCAGGTTGGGGGACACTTGTGTCTGTGTGCAGCTGCACAGAACCAAATAGAGCCCCACATGAAGGTTTGCTTGCACAGTTTTGATTGCAGAATGAGAGGCTTCATCATTTGGGGAAGGATGGATGAAGAGGTCTGTACTTCTTGCACTTTTTTTCTGAATGTCCTAGGTTTGTGCGTAAGTGTTTTTCTTTGGGAAGCAATTTCCAGAGATAGTGGCCCACTACTGCGAATGCCTTATCTCCAGCATAAAGCTCTGTTGGCTCAGACAAGTGTAGACAAGTGGATCAAAGATGCTGAGGTGGTCCTTTAATGTAACCTCCTACTGAAACAGTACATTAGAAACACATATAGCTATGGATAGAAGGAGAAATTATTAATTTTGTTTATTTGTATTGCTATATTGCCTCGTGGCTGCAACCCCACTGTGCTAGGCATTCTATATACATACAACAAAAAGACAATTTCTTCCCCAAAATGATTCAATTTGAAGTATAAGACTTTGGACAATAGGCTACAACAAGCAAATAGGGAAAGCAAAAGTAAGTGAGATGATTATGCTAAATATGCTGTGATCAGTGTGTAACTACAGACCAGCCATTTCTATGTGAATTATGGGTATCAACGCAGCTGTGAGTTCAGGGAGAGATTTGAAAGAAGATATTCTGGTGCAGATTTTTATAGGGACATCCTCTGATGCAAAGGGGCAAGGTGTAGGAGAAAGCACAGAGGTGTTCACTGGAAAATTTAACTGATAGGCAATGCAGGTTGATGATGTTGACAGAGCAGAGACGGGTTGACAGCTATATACCATATTAGAGGTTCTAAGCTGTGAAAAAGGCCCTTGAAAGTAAAGACAAGTTGTTGATTTATTTACCCGCATACTCAAATAGGGCTCATGTTTCAGTACAGCCAATTTATGTGCAGATAGGTCCTAATTCAGTTGGTCCTTTGGAGGACCAATTTGTTATGAATGCCAAACCTGACACGTTGTTGCTTGTTCTATATGTTTTTTTATGTGGCCTCGGGGCTGTAAAATCTGAGCACCTTCAGATTAAACAATGTGACTAACATTCATTGAATGTAGTTCATTCTTTCTTTCATCTTCTCCACAGGCAGAGAATTGTATGTGCAGTGTAGTGTCCCCTCCCCCCCTTAAATGTGCATGCTGCTATGTGTTTATATGACAGAAGGCAGGTTAAAGAAGCGTGTCTTGCACTTGGAGTGGAAGGTGGTAAAGCTTGTAATGGTCCTTTGTTCTTGTGGGAGTTCATTCCATAGTCTCAGACAGGCCTCTGAGAGGGAACAAACCACATGTGATAGATGTTACTCATTGAATGCAGTGTTGTTTTAGCCATATCAGTCCCAGGATATTAGAGAGACAAGGTGAGTCACGTAATATCTTTTGTTGGACCAACTCTGAGTAAGTTTCCCAGACCTGAAGAAGCTCGAAAGCTTGTGTCTCTCACCAACAGAAGTTGGTCCAATAAAATATATTACCTCACCCACCTTGTCTCTCTAAGATGTTACTTGTGTTACTTAAAGGAATAGATTGGGACAAGGAGCCTTGGATGGATGTGGGGCTGACAGGAATGGGAACCTGGGATGGAGACTGGGACTTGCTGGCCAAGAAGACTTGGACAAGGACTTTCGGGGTGAGAGAAATGAGAAGCTTGGGGAGGGTTACTGCTGTGCAACCTTAACTCGGCCTCCTTGTGTGTATGCATTATGATACCGTCTTTAAATCAGTTATCTCACACTATTTTTTTCACAGGCACTTAGTGACTTTTGAGTGCTTGACTTTGCAATCCTAACATTACTTTAACGCGTGTGTGTGTATTTGTAATACATTAGAAAGTGCTGTCTCCTGCACAGACAAGCTTTACCCTTGTGGTAGAATGTTCCACTGTGCCTAAGGTTTCACATGGTGGATCAGTCCTCATCTTGGAGTGTTATGTGATCTTTTAGGTATCCTAGACCTAAGCTATTGAGCACCTTGAGGATTAGGATCAAAACTTGCTTACTTTTGATTACAGGATTTGTGAAAACTTATCATTGTGTTCTCATTTTTCATCGTTTAAAATAATGTTTTTTCCTAGAAAAAGTATTGTCCATGCTGCTAACTGAATTACATATTTGTAAAATTTTAAAACTGTTTTTTCCCAGCGTACTGTCATATATGATTTAGCCATTTTACAATCTGTTTTTATTTTTTTTTAGGGTGTCCCAAAATCAAGTAGGACAGCACTTTACCTTTGTGCTTACAGACATTGAAAGTAAACAAAAGTTTGGATTTTGCCGGTTAACATCAGGAGGCAAAATCTGCCTCTGTATTGTAAGGTGAGTGAGTATAAGAAGAACTGGAGTTTCTTACTCCATGGACTTGTTATTTTTAGGGTTATATTTTGTTGTGCTTTAAAATGCATAGAGACTTTTTTAATCGAAAATCTTCTAAATGATGATGTATACTCACATACCAGTGTGTTTCCTTTGTCCATAATAATATTAACAATTAATTTTTGACAAAGGAATAAGTTAAATGATTTTTATGAAATTGAACCTAGGGATAAAATAAATATTCCTACATAAATAATAGGAAAGATCTGCTTTAAACAGATATTTGAGAATATTATGTAGCTTTTCTGGCTTGAAATATTACGTGTGTGCTAATATTTTTTTTAATGAAACAATTGATACAGATGTTTCAAGTAGTTGAATATTGTTACTAGTTGTATTAATTCTGATGTGATATTCCAGAGCTAATCAGTTGGAATTCTTGAGTCCTGAAGATCATTGCATCACAGCAACATTTCTATCTGTGTTCCTTTGCGTGTGCATAATTTTCACCAAAAAAAAGTTAAAATATCAAACGTTTTGTCGATCAAAACATTTTGAAAAATTTTGATTCAGAAATAAAAAAACATTTTGTTTCAGCATTTTCACTTAAAAACATTTTGATATTCCTGAATCAAAATGTTTTAATTTGATTTGTTGTACTGACCTGAGATGTGTCCTTTCATTTTAGTTTGACATTAAATTGCATTTCCGTGTGGTGGTGTATTGTCTTCTGGGCTGTGTAGTTTGGGTGCCTGATGCCGCCATTCTCTCCTGTGGTCTGAGCTCCTTGGCTGGACTACACCTGGTATAAGGCACCTGCAGATAGGTGATTCTTATGCTGCACCATGCTGCTTGGTTAGAGGAGAGACTGCATTGCATCATAGGAGATGTAGTTCTTGTACCAAATATTTCAAACTGACCAATGCTAAATATTTTGTTTTGGTTTTCCTTATGGAAAATAAAACAAAAAGGCCAGTCAAAATTTTTTCATGGGAAATTTTAATTTTACAGAAACTTCATTTTCCATTGAAAAATCATTCTGACTGAAAATTCCAGAAAAGTTTTATCTAGCAGCTCTAAAGCTGACAAAACCTAGAGAACAAGAATGCAGCAAACTACTTAATTAAAATTTGAGCAAAACAAACATCTTCCACTTTAAAAAGGAGCCTGGCTGCTTGTAAAACCAACTAGGAAAAAACTGGAGGAACTAGTCTAGCTGCAGTGTAAGACAAGGACAGGAAATAGAAGGCTCTCAAAATGGGAGGCAGCTGCAGTACTGGAGCCATTAACCACAGACAAATGGGAAAGGAGCCAGGAGCTGCCAGTGGGGGAAGAGTATCCTGAAGAACAGTGGGGAAGAAGGTGGATAGCCTGTGAAGAGCTGTGAAGAGTTCGGAAGTAGAGGATCAGAAGCTGGACAGTTCATCTAGAGCAGTGCTTTTCAAACTTTTTTTCTGGGGACCCAGTTGAAGAACATTGTTGATGTCCATAACCAAATGGTGCCAGGGATGAGGGGTTTGGAGTGTGGGAGGGGCTCAGGGCTGGGGCAGAAGGTTAGGGTGCAGGGGTGAGGGCTGTGGGAGGGGGCCCGGGAATATGGGGCTCAGGGTGTGGGAGGGGGCTCAGGGCTGGGGCAAGGGGTTGGGGTGTGACAGGAGGTCAGGGCTCTGGGCTGGGGGTGCAGGCTCTGGGGTGGAGCCGGGGATGGGGGGTTTGGGGTGCAGGAAGGGGTTCTGGGTTTGGGGGACTCAGGGCTGGGGCAGTGGGTTGGGGTGCAGGAGGGAGTCAGGGCTCTGGGCTGGGGGTGCAGGCTCTGGGGTGGGGCTGGGGATGAGGGGTTTGGGATGCAGGAAGGGGTTCCATGTTTGTGTGTGGGCTCAGGGCTGCAGTAGGGGATTGGGGCACAGGGTTGGGGCACGGACTTACCTCTGGTGGCTCCTGGTCAGTGGCGCAGCCGGGGTGCAGAGGCAGGCTTCCCGGCTGTCCTGGCACCGTGGACCGCGCTGCACCCCAGAAATGGCCAGCAGCAGGTCCAACTCCTAGGCAGAGGCGCGCAAGTGGTTTTGCGCAACTCTTGCCCGCAGGCACCGCCCCCTGCTCCCATTGGCCGGTTGCCGGCCAATGGGAGTGCAGAGCCGGTGTTTAGGGTGGGGGCAGCGCGTGGGACCGCGTGGCTCCCCTGTCTAGAAGCCGGACCCGCTGCTGTCCGCTTCCGGGGCACAGCGTGGTGTCGGAGCAGGTTGGCACTTGCCTGCCTTAGCTAGGCAGCACTGCCAATAGGACTTTTAACAACCTGGTTGGCGGTGCTGACCAGAGCAAGGCGACCCAGTACCTGAAATGCTGCGACCCAGTACTGGGTCTCGACCCATGATATGAAAAACACTGGTCTAGAGGAGCTGGTGAAGGGCATCAGGAGGTTAGGTGACGTGCTAGGGAAAAGGCCTAGCACTATGTATAGGGGAGATGGGCATAAGTAGGCCGGATACAAAGGGAGAAAGGGAACTGGCAGCAGAGAAGTTTTTAGAAAGAGCATTTTTGTTGTTGCTGAAAATGCCCAGTCAAATCTTTACTAGGATATTCAGCAGCCTCTAATGTAATGACATTGCTTTGCAGGCAGGGTTTTTGGAGTGATTAAAAAAATCAATATATTAATGAGAAACTGTCTGGTGTTCACTTTTTGCTTTGTCCAAACAAGTGAATAAGGAACTGGGTATGACTGTGGAAGTCTGTATTTTCTCATGTATATTAATTGGCTTTCTTATAGTAATGATGATAACTATTTAATAAAAACACTTGAAAAATAAATCCATCTTGGCTTTTGTGGAGCATGAGGATACTGAACCATTTTCATTGTTATACCTTTTGCTGGTATGTCTTGTTTAGGCTCAGGGAAAATTTATTCCTGTGCTTTAGCTCAGTGGTTCTCAACCAGGGGTACATGTATCCCTGGGGTACGTAGAGGTCTTCCAAGGGGTACATCAGCTCATCTAGATATTTGCCTAGTTGTACAACAGGCTGCATAAAAAGCACTAGCGAAGTCAGTACAAACTAAAATTTCATACAGACAATGACTTGTATATACTGAAATGTAAGTACAATATTTATATTCCAATTGATTTATTTGATAATTATATGGTAAAAATGAGAAAGTAAGCAATTTTTCAGTACTAATGTGCTGTGATATTTCTGTATTTTATGTCTGATTTTGTAAGCAAATAGTTTTGAAGTGAGGTGTAACTTGGGGGTATGCAAGACAAATCAGACTTCTGAAAGGGGTACAGTAGTCTGGAAAGACTGAGAATGACTACTTTAGCTCACTCCCTTTGCTCACAACCCTGCCTTTCCACGTCAGACAAAGAAATAACATTTTCTACTTGTTCTTCTAACTTTGTCTGACTTATCTCTAATGTTATAACAGTAAATGCTTCATCAGTTCCACACACCCAAGTGCTAATGTTAAAATACTGTAAGTGACAGTCTTTCTGTCTACTTAAAAAAAAGTATTAGAGCCAGATCCTAAGCTGGTATAAATTGGCATAGCTCTACTGTAGTCAGTGGAACCTACGTTGATATACATCAGCTGAGGATCTGGCTGATGGTCTGCTACTTTGTAGAAATAACCAATGAAATGAAAAGTGGCAAGCTATAATTTTTCACTGCATCATAATAAAAACATTGCCTTTATTGCTTCTGTTGTGACAATTTCAAATTTACCATGCAATGCTGAATGCATAGTTGTACCAGCTTTTATAAATCTGTACTTCTGGATTGGTAAAATATTAATCTTTAACTCGAGGAGGAGGGTGTGAGAAAAAATCGTTAACTCTGAGTACAAGGAAAACTTTTCAGGAGTAGAATGCTGCCAAAAAGATCATGCTGTTACTTTGTAACACATTAAATCTTTATCTCGAACAGGATGAGTATTGTTTTTCCATTGTTTTCTTTGTACAAATGGAGTAAAATATAAAAGCATCAAGTACTGTAAGGTGATTGTATTAAGTAGTCCTTAATACCGAAAATGTGCAGTTCACAAATATGAGATTTCATTTTCTTTAGCAGCTGACTGTATGAGATTGCATTGAAACTTTGCTGATAGAATGTATGTGTCTGTATTTCTGATAGATACATATTCGGATCCAATGTGGTCTGTACTGTGCATCCGAAATTCATTAGCAGTGAGCAAATGTGTTAGTATTCACACACAGATTTGTGCTAGAATTGCATCTGAGTATCCCCAGTGTATGCGTTTTTTATTTTAAAGATTGACCACATACAAAGAAAATCTTAAATTGATGCATGTTCTTGTACAAAAGGTTAATTTTTGATTGCAAGAACATTACCTGTTACTTTAAGGATTGCTTCGGATTGTTTCCTGTAGCTTTAATAAAGGCAAATTGGGGGAAGGTCGAGGGTTAGAAGATGGAGAGAGCCCCATTTAGCAAACTGAAATGGTAACTGTGATGGGTTCCCTCTTGGATGCCACTTGGAACAGGGATACCACTGAGCCCACCTGACCCGCCAGCCTGGGTTCCCTTTACACTGTACTGCTGTGCAGTCTGCTGAGCCCTCCCTCAGGCTTCAGATTGCACTTTACCAGCACACATACAGGTAGGGACACTCCCAGATGCAGGTTCACACAGATGCTGTGATCGGCTCTGCATGGGAAGGCTCAGCTAAGGAACTGCCCAGTACTCAAGTGCACCCCCCTCTAGAAGGTAAACCCAAAATTATACTGTCTTGTGCTGCACAGAGATCTGTGGAGCATAAGCTCATGAAATTCACCCCCTCCCTCAATGTGGAGAGGAATATTCACAGCTTTCTGCCCCACAGTTATGATTTCCACACACTGGTTTTAGACAAAACAAGTGTATTAACTACAAAAGATAGATTTTAGGTGATTATAAGGGATAGCAAACAGATCAAAGCAGATTACCTAGCAAATACAACAAACACACAATCTAAGCGTAATATACTAAAGAAATTGGATATGTGTAGCAAATTCT